TTGATTTAGATTTAAAAGCTCGAAAAATTGGAATATATATATATATATATATAAGCCCATAAATAATTTAAGAAAGCAATATGCGATGCAAAAAATTTAACTTTTAATGATTTATATAATAGGTTAGATACTAAGGGTGAAAGATGTATGCATAGGTTAGCCAAACAAAGAGATAGGAGAAATAAGGATTTAGTAGTAAAGTGCATTAAGGATAAAGATAAAAAAGTGCTTTTATTAGAAGAGGATATTTAACAAAGTTGAATGTGATATTTTAATAAGTTTTTCAATGAAAATTATGAGAATACAATTGATTTAGTGACCTTAGCTTAAGAGTGGAGAAAGCGTGTGTTGATTCTTATTTTTAAGAATGAAGGTGAAATTAAATTAATGTGTCATATTTTAAAACTATGGGAGAGTTATTGAGCATAGGTTATGATGTGATACTAATGTTTCTCAAAATGAATTTGGATTCATGCCGTGTTGGTCTACTTTGGAAGCTATATATTTATTGAGAGGTTTGATGGAGTATAGAGAGAATAGGGTGGATTTACATATGATATTTATTTATTTTAAGTGCTATGGAGAGTTTTAAAAAAGAAAGGGGTTAATAATGCTTATACTTAAGTCATTAAAGATATGTATGCAAGAGATGTTACTTGTGTTCAAACATAAGATGGTTTGACCAATTATTTTCCTATTTCAGTTGGATTGCATCAAGGATCAATTTTAAGACCATATCTTTTTGCTTTAGTCATGTATGTTCTTACTAGACATTTGCAAGAAGAGGTACCTTGGTGTATGGTTTTTACTGATGATATTCTTCTTGATGATAAGAATGGAAAGGGAGTTGAAGGTAAACTTGAATTATGGAGGTCAATCTTAGAGTCTAAAGATTTTCATTTGATTAGATCTAAAACTGAATATATGGATTGTAATTTTTAATAGTAATAGGTCTAGTGGGGGGATTGTAATTTAGGTGATCAAGTCATTAATAAGAGTACTCTTTTTAGATATCATGGGTCTGTTGTCTAGAGTGATGGTGAAATAGATGGGGATATTATTAGTAGAATTTAAGTTAGATGGTTGAAGTGGATGAATGCATCGAGCTTGTTGTGTGATAGAAAAGTACCCCTCAAACTTAAGGACAGTTTTATAAGATGGTGGTGAGACCTGCAATACTTCATGGCGTAAAATGTTGGCCATTAAAAGAGAGGCATATAATTAAGTGTTGCAGAGATGAGGATGCTCAAGTGGATGAGTGACTTTACCCTTAGAGACAGAATGTGAAACGAGCATATACATAAAAAGGTTGGAGTAGCTCCAGGACAGATAAGATTAGAGTGTTGCCTTAGATGGTTTTGTCACATAAAATGTCGGCCTTTTGAAAAGCTAGGTTTTCGGGCTGCATATTCGTAGTTTGACTTCTAAGCAAGGCACAATTTTCATCTCCATGAATCGAATGCGATAATCTTCTAGAATGGATGATGTCCACACTTCAGGTTGATCATAAAGACAAAAAAGGTCTAGTGCTAATAATCCAGCGAAAGAGGATTATTCAGAGTAGGCTCAATGGATAATGGGGATGGAATACTTGTTGGGTGGTTAAGGCAGCCCATATTTAGAGATAAAGAAGGGCACAAACTCTTTGTACGTCGTATGCCCAACTTTTTTGAAACATTTTTGGTAGTTTTGGTAGATGGAGATGGAATCGTGAGGGCTAGGGTTGTTAATTCAGGTTAATGTGTTAGGTTCAGTTCTAACCCGAGTTGACTCGACCTTAAATGGGTCAGGATTTCCAACCCGGACTCGACCCGAGGGGGTTTCCCGGTTGACCCGACTCGACCTGCGGACCGAATATTTGCCTTCTTTCCGCAGGCTTAATCGCCAAGTTGCACGGGCTTGCATGTGCGTAGGGTCTCGACGAGGTTGAGACGAGTCATCACAGAGATGCAAACTTGCTGAGTCGCAGAGGTGGGGCGGATGAGACGGAGTCGCATAGATGCGGACTAGAGGAGGCGGGGCTCGACTTAGAAGGCCGCAGGTGCGTGTGAGCCATGAGGTCAGAGGCAACTCAGGTAAGGGACGCAAGGCTTGACCCGAGCATGGCGAGGCAGGAGTCGAACCTGGGGCTAGCGGTCGAGGACGCTGGCAGGTGGCAGCGTAGGCTAGGCCGACGATCGACTTGGCTAGGTTAGCATAGGATCCGGGTTAGCCGAGTCAACTCCGGGTTGTCGGGTCAACCCGAACCCGACCTGTTTCAAAGGGGTCAGAAATCTGAACTAAACCCGACCTTTTCACAAATGGGTTGACCCGAACCCGGATTTTTCTGGGTCAAGTCCGGTCGGGTTTTGGGTCGTGTCAACTTTTGACACCCTTAATGAGGGCCAATGTTTCTTTTAAAAGAGCATAATCAAAGTCTAGTGTTAAACAAGTAGGGGTAACTGTTAAATTCTATGGTGGCGAACTCAACGAAGTCTGTTATAATGATCTTGCTATTGTGAAAAATATGCTAGACGTGCCCAATTAGGTGAAATCTTTGAATTAGACCAGGTTCCTTTGAAATCCGATGGTGTTTTTTCGTAGCAGTCCAAGGGGTTGGTTCACTTTTGGGCATGTTAACATCTTTTTAGGTCTAGATCTACATTTGCTATGACCCGATTAGGAGAGTAGATGTATTAGATTTGACCTATGCTAAGAGAGGTAGATCTAGACCTAAAAAAATGTTAGAAAATATAAGAAATGAACTTTTTATTATATTTTAATGAGAATTTGACTCTTAACATGACAAAATGAAGAAAAATGATTCATGTAGTTGATCCCATGCAGTGGGATAAAGACTTGATGCTCTTGTTGTTGTGGTGTAGTCGGCCCCACATAGTGGGATAAATGATTGTTGTTGTTGTTGCTGTTGCTCCGGCATTTTCTATAGCCCTCAAAACTTAATCAATAAGGAGTGGTGAGTAACAATTTCGAATATTTTTCTACTATTCCTTGTTTTTGGAGATCTTATGCTAGTTTGAGATTTATAGCTTCTTGAGTTCTCTATAGATTCCCTCTTCTCTAGTTCTTTTTTATCTTTCCCCCCTTTCTTCATTCACTCATAGGTTCTCAGCTCATTCACTCAGAGGGTATGCCTACTAGTAAGGTCTAGGGTTGCAAGCGAACAAAACGTTCGACGAGCTACTCGTTGTTCGGTTCGATTAAAGCTCGTTTGTGATCGTTTAATTAACTAAACAAACAAACATGAACAATATTTTAAATACTCGATTCTTAAATAAACAAATTTGAACACTAATGTGTTCGGCTCATTTATGTTCGCGACAACATCATTTGAAGTTTGTGAACAAGCTCGACATTAAGCTTGATAAGAAGCTTGATTCATGTTCAATTTTGAACTCGTGAATAAGCTCGATACAAATAATTAATAAATATAAATAATAATTGCCTTAGACAATTACTTTTATCATAAATGTGTTTGTTCATAGATATGTTCATGAACGTGTTTGCTTGATAGTTTGAAAAAACTCGTTAAATATGTTCGCGAACAAGCTCGATAAACATTAAACAAACGAACATGAACTGAAAATGAACCGAACATGAACACTCATTAATTTAAATGAACCAAACATGAACACAAATAATAAAGCTCGAACAAACATGAACCAAATTTGAACAAGTTGATATTAAATGAACAGAAACATGAACACTCACATACTCGGCTCGGCTCGGTTCGTTTGCAGCCCTAGTAAGGTCAGACATCATTCATGGACAAATCTGAATTCAACACATACACTTTGATGCAGAGATGTTAATGTACATGATTAACATGTTTAGGCCTTGTCTATTTCATTGCATTTTTTGTCTATATAAATTAGTAAATTAGAGTTTTCAATGATAAATTGTACGGACTAATACACTTGATCCCAGTTTTTAATGGTAATAAGCCAATACCCTTTGCAAGGAATGACAAATAATAAAAATAAAAATTTGCCTACTTGAGCTGAAATGAAGGTTGAAAAAGTAAATTTAAATTATAAGTTAATATATATTATGTAATTACTCATAAATAAATAACTGAATATTAAAGTAATTAAATATAAATTTGATTTCAAAATTTAAATAATGATTTAAATGATGTAACAATTGCGTGTTAGATAAACATATAGTTGTATTTTTTAATTTGAATTCAAATGTAAGAGTAATGACATATAGTTAAGCATTAAACAAAACACGATGCTTTAACGGCCGGAATATAAGCTTAAAGAAATGAAAATTACCAAAAGCTTAGCTTTTTATTTTTATTAATAAAACTAATATAAAGATGAATTGATAGTTTTATACTTATTGCCTAATAATTCAGCGAGGAATTTCATGAGATCTAGTAATTTTCTTAAATAAACTATTTGTCCCTCTCAAAATAAAAATTCTATAAGTTATATTCAAATTTAAAAGTAATGATATATATGATATGATAGTTAGGAGTATGTAAGAGAGTTTGTCATGTGATAACTATGTGATGAATTATAATTGTGTCATGTGATAACTATTAAATGAATTTGAATTCAGATTCAAAATTGTGCCATGTGGAATTCATAAAATGTATCATCTCTTGGAATCATGTACACAAGTTTAGCATTCATAGAGATCAATGTTTCTTGGGAATATTAAATGAATGATTTCTAAGGAGTATGTGAGAGAAAAGTTTCTTGTCTCTTTACACATATAATTATCATTATGTGTTTGTCCTTCCTTTGTCCTGTAACAATGAATAACAACTCTTAAAAAATCTAAGTAAATTTCTACGTTGTGCTAAATATTCTATTGTTTTATCTATTGTTCTACGTGAATAATTAGTCCATATAGGGACCACTTAGCTGTCTGTCAAATAATATCAATATCGCTTGTGATGTTTTGAAATTTCGGACCTGAATCTCATTTTAAGATGAATTTTTTTAAAGTGAGTAGATTTGCTATTAACGATGTTACTGTATCTCACGTAGCCATGTGTACTACATGAGTGGAGATGCATGGAAGGATGGTGGCATTGATGCAACTGGTAAAGTACCTTGACCTTACCAAGTCCTAACAATTTACATATATGCAACCAGTGAAGTACCTTGAGCTTGCTATGTCTTAGCAATTTGCACAATCTTTTTTCTGTTAATTTATCATTTACTATCATTAATGGAGTTGCCTATTTTTTATTTTTATTGGCCTCTGCAGGAAATGCAAGTTCCTCTTGCGACAGGATTCTAATCATACAAGGCATATGACATACTAATGATACATGACATGAATAAGTTGTGAGATCAAGTTATTGTATTTTTAACCATAATGCTTACTATCACAGGCTATGAAGCACAAATAAAGACATGAGACATAGACATAATACAATATAGATATGGAAGCACAACATTATTATAAAATTAGGACATGACAACCCTTAGACAAAATTCTTTCTCTTACAAATTATTAATGTAAAATGTGTAATAAAAACACCTATTGCCAATACTTTCTATAAAAAAAATATCACATAAAAAGTTGAAGGATCATTAAAATATATTGCTTTATAATTACAATTCAATATTTCATTTGGTGTACTTAATTGTTAATAATACATGAATATTAATGGTAATCATTATGCATGAATTTTTCTACATCAATACTGTATTGTAAACCTAAAATGCCCAAAGTGTATAATCTTCAAAATGATCACAAAAATATGATCATAGTAATATATCAATAATTAACTCAACATGCTTAGTAATTTAATTGTCATCTCCACTAACACCAATATCCTTTTCAATAGAACCACTTACCATTATCATTAAAAAAACATAGTTTATAAAATTGACTTAAAAAAACACATTTCATTATAATCATGTGTTGGCTATATCAAGCATATTTTGACTGTCAATTCTAATTTTGAAAAATAATAAAACAAACAATTTTCAACATGCTAGGCTTATGTTGGGAGCGTGCCCATGTTTTATAAGCATTTGACGCATATATATTAGGTTATTTGATGTGTCCATACGTCATAGGTCACAAGTTTGAAAGTTCTTATCAAAAAATTATAATGATATTCACACCCTTTGAGGAAATTTAAGGTGGCCTTCTAAACTCAGCCTTCACTTCCAATATTTTATTTCTCAAAGAACCAAAAGGATTCTGAGGGGTCGGCCCAGGTGTATCAAAGACGGTCAAAACTTGGTCCTCTCTCTTGATTTGCCGCCCATATATGGGTGGGTCCCACTCACTAATTTAATTAGGAAGGAGGGGTGCGGCTAGGGCTAAGGAGGTTTAAGTGTTTGCTTTAAATAGGAAGAGATGATTAGGGTTAGTGCATGAAAGTTATTGTGGCTATTTTCATTTTTAGAGTTTGGTGTCTTGGGCTCTAGCAATGTCTAGGGATTGTAAGAGATAAATCCTCCTCTCGAATTGAGGATAGATGTATCTTGGTATTTTTGTTATGTTCCCTTTGATTATTGCAAAAATTACTGTTTTCTGGTTTTTCCTTGGAATTGTGGATAGTTATCGCTATTTTTTGTCAAGATTGTTAGGTTTTACTCGAGATCTTCTAGTATTTCCTAACAAATTGGTATTATAGCAGATTTTGGGATTATTTGGGGGATTTTTCTGAGAAAATCAGTAGCCGATTTTTAGCTGGAAGGGGTCTGTTTTGCTGAATCGAGATCAAATTTTGAGTCCAACAAAAATTTGGGTATCGATGACGGCCAAGAAAGTAGATGCGTTGGAGGAATGCCTCGAAGGGGACATGAGCCAAATGAAAGCAACGGTGGAGGATAGAATATTATCCGTGGAAGTCAAGGTTTCAGATCTTCATGAGATGGTAAAGAATATATTAGAAAATCACATTCAAACGGTGGCATCGGAGATTGATGTAGACACACAATAAGAAATTGACGCAATTGATAGAACTTAAAACAAACTTTATTAAAATAAAAGCAGACAACTAAGACTTGACAAACACAACAAGAAATATTAGGAGAAATAAAGAAAATTAAAAAAGACGCTATCCTCAGACAACTGTCAGAGCGGGTTCCTCACATGCATCGAATTGTAGGTTAAATAAGAAAAGTGCATAAGACTAGCAAACCGATGGTCCACCACTGCAAGATTGTCCAAATGCTCCCAAATCAACCACAACACGACATCCTAAAGTTGCTTCACTGTTAAAATCTTTTTGGTTTTTCAATTTCATGATCAAATGACAAGTTCATTTCTATGGCTATAAAGTATGCAATAAAAAATATACAATTAGTGATCAAGGCAATTAAAAATAATAAAAAAATATAAGTAGGTCTAACTATTCAATTAATTCAACAATATAGTTAAAATTTTGCAAAAAAACAAAATACTTCCCCCGACAACAGCGCCAAAAACTTGATGGGGGTACTGTGGAGTGTAATTTTGAATTATAAAAATATTAAGGCGATGCTGCGACGACAATATTTAGAATTTTGTGCATTTTTTGTATTTTTTTCTGCACGACACAACTAAAACAAAATATTTCTTTTTCTGAAAATATAACACAAAATAATACATTATTTACACTTATTACCTGATAGCACGGCAGAGCTAGGGTCTGGATCGTCGCAGTGCCGGGGTTTGGAGCACCGCAATACTTCTCTCTCTGTATGTCTCCTAGCAAACTATACAACGTTGCATTGCTCGAGTATACAGCGCCGGAGTTCTGTACGATTCTACATAAAAATTTTTTTTAAGGTGCAAAGCAACCAAACTCAAGCAGGGGGGATGTCACACCCCAATTTGCCCCCTTAATGGTCCAATTTGGAGTATAATAGAAGGAAATAAATCTATTTAGATTCTCCCAATACTTCAGCATACCAACTCCACTCTTTAGTAATAGGAAGCGTGTGATGTACTTGAAGTACCATTAAATATAATCAAAGTACAAAAAAAGCTCTACTAAAACTTTTAAAATTTACTTACATATCCAAAGGTCTGCAACGCTATCGTTCATATCTATTTTTAGATCATTTGTATACCCAAAAAGAACAGTTACCACTTTAATGCCCTACGGGCTCCTTTCCCTTGCCTGTAGTAAAACCACTGCCCATGAGCTATGGCCCAATGAAATATACAAGCAATATATAAGAATTAATAATAATATTTTAACCATTAAGAAAGACATAATATTAGTGACTAAATAATAATATGGTTAGAGTACCTTCCATATATATCACAAGAAAACATAACAGTACTTTCCATCATGCTAATTGTTCAACACTCTTTTTAACAAGTCATATGATGGCTATAAATTTTAGCACCCTTTTAGCTTTTCAATTTAAGGTTGGGTCTAGCTTCCCAACTATTAGAATTGAAGTTGTTTGCTCAATTCAGGGTTGGGTCCAAATTCCCAACTTCTAGACTTGAGAGTATAGGCTTACCTCGTCAGATCTTTCACCTTTATTTGTGTGGGCTTATCCCCCAACATATGACTTGAATCACTTTATATTCTCTTTCATTTTCAAGTACATTCCATAATCAGAGCAACAGTTTAATCAATTATAATGAATTGAAATACATACTATCATGTGAAAAAATGCTATCATAAACATGCCAAATATCAATTTGCAATATTATAATTTTTTTTTCTATTTCTTATGCATTGTTGAGTATCTCACATTGCTTAAAATTTGTTTTTCTAGATTCTATTTTTTTCTCCGCTTATACACCACCTCGATCGTACTCTTCTTAATTCCATTCACAATCCCTTTTCCTTCTTAAACTTCTTTCATGACTTCCCTTCCTTTCTTTCTTATTTTTCCTTCTTGAATTCAACAACTGATTTCAGTAATCATTATTTTAGCAAATAGAATCAACAATCATCGCTTAATTTTAACTAACACTAAATTTAAATTCAGAAATCTCTTATTGACTTCTTGCAACATTTTTTTTAGCAAATATTATAATCTCTTACCTATTTTCAGCAACACTACAACAACACCTTTTTCTAATTTTGGCCACCACTATACCAGTTCATTTCGTCCATATTCCTGAATTAAGCAACCACCAGCTTCTGCTATATTTTAGAAATTCCAGAATTGTAATTCAACACAAAGATTGCAGAAATTGCTATCTCAAATTTCTGAAAGCTTAATCCTCCTTCAAATTTCATTACCTGATAAATCTGCTACCAAACTTGAAATTCCCACACACAACCCGCCTTTTTCAGCTCCAGTTCTCCCACGGCTTGCAGAGCTTCGTCTCTTGAATGGGAAGGAAAAAAATAAAAATGAAAGAATGGCTACAGGTGTTGCTAATATAATAATATAATCATTCCACTAAGAATACATTCTTTATTATAATACTATATAATTAATTCCACTAAGCCACTATACATTAATGCTATCCGTTGATGAAGTATGAGAGGGATCAGTCATTGCATGCCGAGCTAAGTGGATATGCTACAATAACTGTAAATAGAAAAATAGATTATTTGCTTTAGCAATTACATCATTTATTGAAGTCAATGCTAAGTATTAGTTCAGCTAACACTTTTAATTAAGTGTTTAGAACAAAAGAAACATTAACTATATTTAAATGATAACATGCCTTTACATGAATACAGATAAATATACTATGAGGATCAAAATTAAAATTAAAACCTAATAAAAATAATTTGACATTTTTCATATATGAAAAAAAAAATAATGAATGATTTTATTGAGAAATATTCCTACTTACTTTTAACAAACTTTGGGTATTATAGGGGAGGACACCTGCAGCCCCCCTGCGAGCTCGACCGATGGAATTGAGGTTCGAGGTTGTGGTACAAACTCGATTGATCGACATAATTAGATTCGACACAACTAACAATTTGTTCTGAACACCAACCTTGTATTTGAAGGTTAGTGTATACTCTTAAACCCACTTACCATGACAAGAACTTATTTTCTTTTGATATATTAAATATTTAAGAAGTGCTTCATGGTCTAAATCGACCACAAATAGTTAGAGTAAGAATATTGTCACCAGCATAAAAAGCTTACTCGATCACATAGAATTCACGAATATAGGTGGAGTATTTTTGGTGGGCCTCACTTGGCATCTCACAACTATACGCTACTAGATGTCTTTCTTGCTTAAGGTCTCCACTGATATCTACACTTGAGGCTTCACAAGATATAAAAAAAATTTTAAATTTTATTGAAGCTGGACAACTTTAATACATATGGACTAGTTAAACACCCTTTGATTTTTTAATGGCCCAAGAAGCAGTTAGAGTCCACTCAAACTCTCATTTCTTTAAAGAATGGATGATCTGGACTATATTAGTGCTAAATCCTTCTAATGATGAATAATCTATGGAAACTATGAATATCATGAATAGAAGTTGACATATGCCAATCATTGATGGCTAAAACCTCATATCACTTGAGATGCCTTCGTGGAATCCACAAAACCTAAGAAGATCATTGAAGGTGTGTATATGCATTTGTTTGGATGAATATATAGTTTTTCATGGTGGAGAATCTCAAAACATGTCTTAAGTGATCAAATCTTTCACGGTGAACATTGTTTAGAAAAGCAAACTATTGTCAAAATAGATGACCAGAAAGAGACCAATGAAATGCTGAAGCACATTTATTATGACACACATTAATGTACTTTGGGCATGAGTTAGGCTAAAAGGCATAACAAGTCACCTGCAAAGGCTAACCTTCATTTTGAAAGTGGTCTTACACTTATCATCTTCACTCATTCTAAATTAGTGAGACCTACCTCAAAGATCAATATTTGAAAATATTACTATTTCGACTATTATGCAAAGCATGTATTCCAATTGAGAGAGGGGAGTTAATGCTTGATGATAATTTTATTAATGGCTCTACTACCAACATACTTGCAACCATGTTCCTTATGAAGATCCAAAACAACACAAGGGAACCAATCCTTATGAATAAAACCTTGCGTAATAGATCATTGACTTGATAAATGAGTTTTTTATATGCTCTGCATGGGTTCATTGTTAATGCAGTAGATCAGGCATGGTGGTTCCAGACACTAAGTTAATGGCATGTTGGATGGTCTTAGAGGTGGGAGTTTATTAGATAGTTAGTTAGGATAAAAATCTTCAAAGTTAGATAGGACCTGATTAACCTTAGATGGGATGATGGGAAACTTACCAAAAATTATTTTAAAAGATTCTAATACAACAAGCTACTACGCTCAAACTCCATCGGCTAATAATATTAAGATGTCATTTTTCTGTACGAGCATATGACTCTTTCAGTTTTCACAGTTGAAGCTCCTTTTGTTTAGCCGGTCTCAAAATAATTTTCTTGCCTTCAAATTTGCATTGGATTGCCCGAAGTGAGTGGGTCCAAATATATAGCTACGGCTTTCCTAAAATTATGTGGGCCATATCCATGGGGAGGAAAGTACACCAAATATGATCAGAATAAGTAGCTAATTGCAATGAAATAAGGAACCTTTAGGTGACATATATTGGTATTTTCAACCCAAGCAGTTTTGTAAGAATGTGGATGGGGTTTAGGAGTGCACTTTATCCAAAGTAATAGTCCAGATAACATTCATACAACTACTATCAGTAATAAGTTTGCATCGTTTGTCTCCTCTTTTGAAGTAGGTGTGGAAGATATTTGCGGGTTTCCAATTGATGTTAGTTAAGGGTTGGCTGGTACATTACTTGCCACGTCTAAGTGTTAGCCAACTAATACTTAGCATCATTAGCAGCATCACCTGAATCATACTTGACATTATTAGCCTGTTTGTCTTTTTGCTGCTCGGGATTAACAAAATCCAAGTGGATAGTACTACAACGGTGGCTAGTTACATAGTTATTAATCTTGCTACAAGTGAAGCAGGTAACACTTCAGGACTTGGAGCTAGAGGCTCCTGACACAGCTTTTTCTTAGTTGGCCTTAGGAGATGAACTACTAATATTAGTTGTGAATTTGAACTAGGAAATGGACTTAGGATATTGCAACTAAAAGGTCCATTGGAATGCCTCATCGAGAGTGTAAACTTCTTGAGTCAGCCTTTCGATGGATATCAAGATTAAGTCAAGTTCAGAACTTAGCAATAGTAGCTTGAGGTCCTTCAATATATCACATTGGATCATTAACTCGTCATATCAAGTCACATAATTAACGAGTATTATAGAGCCCTTCTAAGAGTAATTGGTTCATTTTGAAGTTGACCATGGAATGCTAGTTGAAGATACTTATGCTTTAGGAGCTCGTTCCCCTCATCCTAAGATCTAGCAAGTGTTTGGCAAGATCTTTGAAGTCGTCATTCTAAGTTGATTAGTTGGCATGATCGATGAGGATTGTTAGAAATAGCTATCCAATCAAAGTACTAGTCCATATTTGTTAGTCAATCATAAAACACTTTTGGGTCAAACGATCATAAAAAATAGGATGATCTGTCTTAACCTTTCCTGTGATGTCACTATCGACATCTCATTCAATCTCATGGCGGTGTTAAACTGGTCAAAGCTTATAGATGAGGATATCACTATTTTGGAAAAAGGTTCATTGGGATAACCTCCAATCCAACCAAACGTTTGTTTTCTTTGTGGGGAGTTTGAATGGTAACTCTTCCGTCATATAGGGTATTCAAGAAAGTCTTCCACAAGAAAAGGCCAATTTTCTTGTAGCCTTAATGGGTTAGGATTAAAGATGAGTTTCTTTTGCTATCGACGTGTGGGACATAAAAAAAAAAGTGTGGGACATCTTCAATTAGTTTGGGTTCTTTTGTAGAGGATTAGCGCTGACTCTATTTTCAAAAATAGCCAACCTAGTTGGAAATTCTTGATATGCTTATTGATTGAAGAGAGTAAGTGTGAAACCCTTAAATTTTCAATTTATGTTTGAACAAAAAAAATTTTGCTGTTAGTACGGGACGAACCGTCTGTACGAACTGAAGAAATGTTGAAAATCTGTATGGTTAGTACGTACGAACTGCCAGTACGAACAGAGAAAATATGCATGTTCGTCTGTACGAACCTGGAACCGTCGGGACGAACCAGACAGAGAGTTTCGTCCAGGGATGAAGAAATTGGAATTTATTTTCGTCTGTACGATCTGTGTCCAGAGAAGATTGTCCAGGGACGAATCGGGACATCGTCCGGGACGATCCTGATTAATAAATATCTGAATAGTGTCGATTTTGAAGGAAACGCAAGCCGAGGAGAGAGAAAACTATGGAAAGAAGAAGGAAAGTGGATTTTTGAGCGACTTCGACTCATTTTCGTCCGTCGCCGTAGTTGGAAAAGTTTAGGGTTTCTAGCTAAGGTACATTCCGCTTTTCTCAATTTTCAGAAACGAGAATTTTGACGACTTTTCTGTCTCGAATTTTGTTTCCGTTAGCGAATAATTGATTTTATTTCGCACTGATAAATGTTTTACCGCGTAACTTTTGGTATGTTTCTGAGATGATAATTGTGCACGTTTTGAGTATTTTCTGGAAGATTTTTATCGGATATTTTGAATTCCGCGGCGTTTTAATTGAATTGCAAGTTATCAGGATGTTGAAAAATGTTATTTCAGTACAATGAAAGTCTTATAATGTTGTTGTGGATATTCTGTGATAATTTGGTAAATTTCTGAATCTGTAAATTTTGTGTAAATTCTGTATACTGCCGTTATGCTGCTGATTTTTCGTACGAATTCTGATTTTTTCTAAATTGATACATTGAATGAATTGATTATTTGTATGCTATCAGAAGGGAGTTATAAGGGGCCAAAATCCTTTGTGATTCCGATGTTTGGGTTCGGGAAATCTGAAAATCTGAAATGAGCTCTGAAATCTGTCTGTTCCGGAATTCCGAATATCTGTTCTATTCTGGTGCTATAAGCACAACTGGAGACATAAGGGGCCAGAATCCGTCGAAATTCTGTCTGTGTCAGGGAAGGAAGGCATAAGGGGCCAGAATCCGTTGAGATTCTGTAAGGGTCATGGAATTTGATGTTTGCTATCTGATAATCTGTTCTGTGACTTATCTGGTCTGTCTTATGAATTATCCAATATATGATTTCTGATTTTCTGTATGATTCTATCTGCTCTGTGAATTGGAAGCCTTATGATATTCGATTTGAAATGACTTCAGTTTTCTGTATCCGTAAGCTAATTTCTGATTGATCATGTATCTGTTATGTCTGTTCTACGATTTCCGTACGGCTATTTTCTGATGTGAATTTCTGACTATTTTGATTGGTAAGTGATGTCTTGCTGAGCTGTTAGCTCATCCTTGTTTTCTGCGTAGTTTTAAGGTTCTGGAAAAGGGAAGGAGGTCTTGGACTAGAAGTTCTGTGTCTGATCTGAGATTAAGTATTTTGTACTTTTGATTTTTGGTACAGTCATGGCTTTTCTGTTCTGTTCTGTTATTTCTGTCTGAAGCCATGAATTGTATTGTATATGATTGTTTTGATGAAAGAAAAGATAGATGAACTGTTCTATATTTGGATGTTTATAGTAGCTCTGTGTTTTTCTGTCTATTTAATATTTGGAAGAAAATCTGAAGCAAATTCCAAAGCTAGATCCTAGATTTTCAATAGTTGTGTCGCGGCCCGATGCGAGCGGGATCCGTCCCGGTCGGGTTGGGTCGTGACAGTAAGATCCTCTAAGTGTTCTTGTAGCTGAAGGAGAATGTTCTTGCATATGTGACCATCTGTTCAACATGTGATTATTATGGGTAGTCATAGAGGATACTTGGATATTATAGTTTATATGGTAGAATTTGTGACAATGCAGTAGTATCTTCAAATATGCTATCAAACCACTGGTGTTTGAAAAACCTTTTCTAAAGAAAAGGTATAGATGACTTATATGTAAGATTTGGATAGAAAATGATAATGATATAGCCAAATTTCAAATGGCAAA